CAGTAATGGGTGGCTTTGGCACAACTTCCCTTTTAGGAAGTGGCTGGCATTTCCTAAAACACACAGAAGGAATCACAGAACCACAGAATCACAGAGGGTAGGAGAAGACCTCCAAGGCCATCAAGTCCCAGCTGTGCTCCATCCCCAATCTTGTCCCCAGCCCAGAGCACCCAGTGCCACCTCCAGCCCTTCCTTGGGCACTCCAGGGATGGGCACTCCAACCCTCCCTGGGCAGTTCCAGTGCCTGAGCCCCCTTTCCATGGGGAGATTCCTGCTGTGCCCACCCTGAGCCTGCCCTGAGCCCCCTTTCCATGGGGAAATTCCTGCTGTGCCCACTCTGAGCCCCCTTTCCATGGGGAAATTCCTGCTGTGCCCACCCTGAGCCTGCCCTGAGCCCCCTTTCCATGGGGAAATTCCTGCTGTGCCCACCCTGAGCCCCCTTTCCATGGGGAAATTCCTGCTGTGCCCACCCTGACTGCCCTGGCCCAGCCTGAGGCCGTTCCCTCTGCTCCTGTCCCTGTTCCCTGGAGCACAGCCCAACACCCCCCGGCTGTCCCCTCCTGTCACCGAGAGCTCTGTCCCTTGTCCACATTGGCAATAAGGATATTAAACCTCAGGAGCAGCTTACCTGCCTCTGATCGCTGAAAAAGCCTGTAAACACATTTGGAAAGCAGAATCAGCACAGTGCAGGCACAGGCCAGCCCTGGAGCTGTGTGTGTGGGAAGGGGGATGCTGAGAGGTACCTTGGTGAAAAGAAGTGTGTCCTTCTGATTCCTCAGAGCCTGCAGCTCCTGAATATCCTGGCTGGCCGAATCCTTCATCCTCTTGTGATTATTCACCTCTGTCTGAATCTTAGAAAGTTGTTCCTCCTCATAGTCATTTAGAACTTTCAGGACCTCCCCTTTTTTCTTCTCTAGCTCTTTATGCATCTCCTTGAACAGGCTCTCCAGCCGTACCCTCCGCTGGCTCTCATCACTCTATCAAGAAAACAATTTCAAATTTGTAAGGGACATTTTCCACATTAGCTTTTACTTAGAAAAAAAAATCTGTCTTTTTTCTGGGATTGAAAAAAAAACTAAACGTTGAAGGTTGGAAAAATAAAAAAGCCACACACCAGCCACTTATCTGGAGGCACAGACTTTCAAGCTTAACTAAGAATGGACCTCCCACACTGATAAGAAAATTCTGCATCACCCTTTCCCAAAGAAGAAATCTCAAAAATACATGAAAACCACCCAGGAACTAAAAAAGGTTCAGAATCCATGATCTGGGAAGGACAAAAGAAAACTTCATCTCATTATTTACCAGCAAGCAACCACCCCAAGGTGATATGGGACCTTGAAACAAACCTTTAGTCCCTCCATTTGTTTCAGCAATTTTGTTATGACTTTATCCACGGCAGCTTCATGGTTCTTCAGTGTTTTCAGAATTCCAGGAAAAGATTCCTACAAATATCACGGGAAGGAGATATCAGGAGAGGACTGGCATAATGCACGAGATCAGCAGTTTTATCGACAGGGTTTAAGCTGGACTTGCAAAAGGTCTGCTCACTGCATGCTCTCACGACTAATCAGTGGATAAAGGTTCACTGGAAGGTTTATCCCTGAACAAGTGCCACAATTACAAGCACAAAAAGGACAATTTGAAGCTGAAAACTGTTCACGTGCACGAGCCACATACAATATTTCCCCTGTTGGAACCTTTCTTTCTCTTACTCTGTCATTAATTATCTTTGCATAAGTGCAGCTCAGGCTCATCTTTGCCTTGGAGGTGCACCAAGGACTAAAACCTTGCAGGAGCACTCAGGCCCACCAGTCTGGCCAAACTCTTCCTCAGGAGGGGAAAAAGGCGTTTATAACATCTCGTTTTATGTCTGAGGGGCCAAAGCCAGAGAGAATCTGGGACAAAACTCAGAATAAAAGCCCAGGACTGCAGTTTAGCCCCATGCTGGCTCTGAGCTCTCAAACTCAGCAGCTGCCCCTGTGCCATGGGAGCTCCCTGGGGTTTTCCTGGTGCAATCGCGGCCAGGGCCCCCGCCCCAGCAGCCTCTTACCTGCGCTTCGCTGAAAGCCTCCTCCAAGCTGATGATCTTGTGGTTCTTGTGCGAGATGACGGAGCACAGGACGCAGATGCACTCCGAGTCACTCTCACAGAAGCACTCCAGCAGTTTGCCGTGCTGGGGGCATCTCCTCTCAGCCAAAAGCTGCCCATCGCAGGGCTCCACCAGCACGTGGCTCTTCTGCCCGTGCCGGCTGTTGTGCCTGCTCAGGTGCGCCTGGCACAGCGAGGCCTCGCAGCTCAGGCACGTCTTCACTGCGGGCTGCGGCTCCTGGAGGCAGAAGTCACACAGCACCGCCTCCCCGGCCTGGCCCGAGCTTTCCCCCTTCTCCTGGCCTTGCGCTTCCTGCTTTTCCTCCTCTTGCTGCGCGGGAGCATCCAGGAACCTCTGCACGATGTTGCGGAGGTGGAAGTTGGCCCGCAGCTCCCCGACGAGCGAGTGGCACAGCGGGCACCGGGCAGGGCTCCGCTGGCCCCGCAGCGCCTCCTTGATGCAGTCCTTGCAGAAGCTGTGGCTGCAGCCCGCGCTCGTGGGCTCCTTGTAGATGTCCAGGCAGATGGGACAGGTCAGCTCTTCCTTCAGCCCGGCCATGGCCTTTGCCTGGGCCGTGCCTTCAGCTCCGAGCAGGGCGGACAGGGAGGGCTCAGCTGGGAAACGAAACTGAACGCGGGCAGTGACGAGGAACGAACTTTGCCCTGCGGGCTAATGGCTGCTGCCTCCTCCCCTTTAGCAGGGAGGGTCTTCCCTCCCCTCTGTCCCGCTTCCTGCCTCTCGGGGCCACGTGGGCAGGGGCTGTGGCTGTCCTGCTGTTGACAAAAACAAGTAACAAGTCGTGTTCAATTAATTCCTTTCGGTTTCCTTGCCAGGGCTTTGTCCTGTGTGCAAGCGGTTATCTCATCTGTAAAGACTGTGAGNTGCATGCGGTTATCTCATCTGTAAAGACTGTGAGCTTGAGCTATGCTGGTAAGTACTCATATTTTGGTCAGACTACAGTGTGACAAACCCTTTCACTCTCCTTTTAAAATTTAAAAAGTGTAATAAAGGACAATAAGAGACTGAGATAGTAAAGCAAAGATTACGGCCGGGTGCGTCTTGGCAGTCAGTGAAGAGTACACCTTTACCTTCGGGGATACCTTAAATACCTTTACAATGACATCAGCTTGTTGCATTCTCATAGACCCTTATGCATATCCATCTTTTCCCATAATCTAGTTCACATATTCCAGGAACGATTTTGCATGGGCCCTCCTTGGGTTTGCCTTTTTAGAGCATGCGTGTTTCTTGGCTGTGGTTTTGGCTCCTTCTCCTTACCACTTCTCATCTGAGCTTTGGTTCATTCTTCCTTCAGATGGCAGATGCTGATAGCTGGCATATCAATATCAGTGTCCTCATGACATGTTCACTGGATGTTATCCTGAACAAACAGTTCACTTACAACTATATCAGCTACCACTACTATTATGTCTTAAGATTTTTGTTAATTGCAGAAATAAAAGCAAAGTTATTTTAACATTATAGATAGAGCATTTATTTTACTATTTGTGAAAAGCCAAGAATATAATATGTATTTATAACAAGAGCAATGGGATGCATTGAAAGAGAAGAAGACCTCCAAATTTTTGGAGGTCTGTGACCAAAAAAGAATAGTTGGAGAAATGGGATGTTCCCCAAACGACTAGCCAAGAACCTCAAAAGAACCCCACTCCAATGAAAATGAACTCTGAGAAGTGATTTAAACATGCAGAGAATACAGGGAGTGTTTAGCATACAGGTATGAGTTTTGGGAAATGTATTGGATATGTAAAAGCCACATAGATTAAAGCACGTTGGTCAGCCAGGTGTGCTGTGTGTTATAGGGAGTTATGCCCCGCATGCCTGGGGCTGAAATAAAGAAACGCCACTTTCTAATACTGAAATTCCGGCGTTAGAGAGCTGAATTCCCCAGCGACAGCAAGTCAAACTCCTCGCAGCAGCTCGAGGCTGAGAGCTTGGGCACTTCAAGGGCAGCGTGGCAGAAGGTCCAGCCCTGCTGTGATGGGTCAGGAAATGAGGCAGGAAGGAAAGCTGGGAAGAATCCCTGTGGGCAGGGAGGCTGGGACAGCTGGAGCAGCAGGCAGAGAGGACCAAAGGAGCCAAAGCTGTTCCCTTCTGCAAAGACTCCTGGATGGAGCCGGACGAGAGGCTGGGACTGATAAACCCTGAGTGAGCAATTGTGTGGCTCACCTGAAGTGCAGCCTGCAGAGCCCAGGGCAGAGCTTGTGCGGCCCAAAGCTGAGGTCCCTGTCAGGCAGCTCCCGTGCCAGCAGAGCCCAGGGCAGCATTTGGTGTCAGGTGCCACTGCTGAGGGCACAGGTGGAGCTGAGGCTCCACAAAGCAGCCCAGCACAGCTCAGCAGGCAGTGGAATGGAGTGCGCACAGTGGGCACCGCACACTGGTCAGGAGCAGCAGTTGGGCTGGGCTGCCCCACTGCCAGGTGCCAGCCAGCCCAGGGCACCACCAAAGCTGTCCCTGTTCACACAAGCTCCTGAGGGACTGATTTTCCCCTCCCACGAGGCACACTGTGCAGGGAGAGAAATAACACTGCCCCCCTGCCCTGCAGCAGCCACTGAGCCGCTCCAAAACAGAGCCAGCGTCTGTGTGAAAAGGAGTTGTTTTATCTCAACGTTCTGCCAAAATAAAAACAGCCCAGCTGGGATTTATCCCAAATGGTTGGAAGTAATTGCTGGGACCAAGGGAAATGATGAACTGGTGTCAACATTCACCATCCCTTCATGCAGATTCTAGGTCTGCCTGCAGGAATTGTCCTCAACAAACAATTGTATTCAATAAACAGGTGAGTGCTTTGTTTTCCAGGAGGCTGCCTGGGAATGCAGTGTTGGAGGCACAGGTCAGGTTGGGAGGACAAACATCAGCCCTGGCTCTGTCCCTCCCTGCAGGCCCTTCCCTTGTGTGCCCCTGTCCCTCCTGGGGACCCACTGCTGTGTCTCTGCTCC